GGCTTCCGGTCCATCGGTCCTACGCGCAGCGGTCCTATAATTTTTTCAGCATCATTAATCTGAACTAGGAAATTTTCTTTGTTCTTTCCTTTAGTCGGAAGTCAACTTCGCTTCTCCACAAGCGAAGACACTTGGAATTAGCTGGAGTGGTAGCAGACGCCAACAGCAACCACCTGCTGTCAAAACTGTCGGTGGTTCCGTCATCCGAGGATTGCTTAAAGGCAGGCTGATGACGGTTTTGTTTTCCTGGCATGTGCAGCATCGTTAGAACTTCAGCTACCCGGGTTTTCAGTTCTTACCGGTCCTTACTGTTCTGTAACAGTCATAGCTTACAGATACTGAGACGGCTCGAAAATGCGAAAGCGCAACTGACCTCGTAACGGCTGATAGTGCTACAGGTGAACAATTTCTTCAAGCTCTTTTCTTGAATTGCAAGTAAAATTAACTTTCATTCTTGGGTTTGCGCTTTGGAATGAAGAATGGCTGCTCTTTGAAAGATAGTGACAACTTTAAAGACATACCACGAATACTGAATACGAAAACTTGCATTTTCTTCTGCAACTCAAATCAGCCAGTAATAAAATCCGGTGACCCACAACTTTTCTGAAAGTTTTGATAATTGCTTTGTGCGAACAAAATTGAGTTTATGAAGAAAAAAGAAAAAGCCAAGACAATCAGCATAGTTAATTGACATTGGTGACGTTACTAAGATGCCCCCACGCAGCTCATGCAACTGAATGCTGCAAACTATGGAATTCGAGAATTGTCTATGCCGTCTTTCTTCCCTCAAAGAATTCAGCACCCGAAAAGCTGCCACTGCAAAAAAAATTCTGTCTGGAATTCTTGGATTTGTGCCGCTTTCTATGCAAAAGAAACCAATAACCACCAAAAACTTTCAGCAGAATAATCTAGAGCAAAGCTTTTTTAACAAGTTTATAAGAAAGTAGCAGATGACCGCTGGAAACCCCATTGGACAAGTTGTGAATAAGCAGCAGAATAGGAAACGAGCTTAAAAAAAGCTTTGCAAAGTCGGATTTGTTACGGAGTTACCCACTGGCTTCCAGAGAAGGGCAGAACCCTATGCGTTTTACATGACATTGCGTATTTTACGGAAAACTTTTGAGAAAGCTCCTTCATGCACTATAAATGCTTCTTGTTTGAAGATGTGACAGCAACAGTTCCCAAGAGAAAGAAAACCATTGGTAGTGCAATGACCTCTGCAGGTAAGCCTTTCAGTTGATCCATATAATCCGACATTTGGCTCTTGAAGCTACAAAAATTGCGCCCATCATCGCTTGCCGTCGGTTAATCATTGTCATATCCCATTTAATAATCAGTTGCGTTCTTAAAACGCTAATTATCTGACCCAAAGAAGCGAAAGAAAGTGAAGAAATATGTGAGGCAAATACTAAGAATACCTAAACTATGATGGGATTACCTAGACCATGTGTCTCTTGCAATAATTTACTGACACCAACACCACTTTCCAGTGAAAGACAGTCTGCATATACATATATCTTCTGGCGCATGATACTTAGACTGATCCCTTATCTTCTACCCAATTATTTAATATTACAGGAATGCCCTCATTCCGTAGAAAGCGGGCTTTTTGAAAGTGACCTAGCTGTTTAGAAACAGTTCCCTCGCCAAAATCTATAAATGCTCATACGTGAAATCATGCATACTTGAGGGCTGAATTTGAAAATTTTAATTTGTTTGTAGGCTGGGGACATCCCTTAAAATTTCAGCTTCTCAGCTTTCTTGATTCCCAACTTGGTAGTTTTCCTGCTACAACTTTTATGCGCTCATACGCGGGGCACCGATGTGCGTGATGGTTGATATTCCTGTTCTAGATTGCACTTGGTCGAAGAACCACTGACAAAACTTCAGCGTCGAAGCTTGCTTGGTTGCTGAAATGAAATACCCGGACAGACGCACAGACACATACACCCACTTACATACATACACAAAAAATGCACACACACACACACAAGCATGCACACACCATGTGTCATCACAATGTGCGTTTTTGCATTTACCTCAACGTAGTGACGCATAACAAACGTCGGGATAACCGGTTAGCTGTCCACCAGCAACAATAAAGTTGCCAACTATGCAGAGTTGAAGAACCATTGTTGAATTGCTGCTAAATTGAGCAAATTATCATATGAATGTCACGGATTGCAGCATAATTGACTGTTTTTGCTACAGACCATTATTTTCAGGTACAACTGCAGGTACCGCAGTGAAAGGTGCAGGGAACGTCATGCACAAAGTAGCCGCTACTGTGGGTAAGCCTGTGTTCTTGATGAGCTGAACTTGCTAGCTTTAACCATTTTAAGTGTCTTTCGTGTGTATCAAGCTGCACTGCTTCATCCCGAACTTTGTCGCTTGTGCACTTCACCGACTAAGCGAATGATAAAGTAATTTGGTCGAGTTTTACACGTTATAATTGCAGGTGTAACTGCACGAACCACAGCGAAAAGTGCGAGGAGTGTCGCTCGCAAAACGATCAACACCGCAGGTATTGGATGATTAAAATGACAGATCCTAGGGAATATATCTTATGGTGCCATAAGCCGGCAAAGTGAGAGATCTGCATTGCCAGTCAATCTAGCTTTGTTCATTTGTTTCATTAATGTTTGTTCTTTGTTATGCATTTCACGCTGGAACAGTAGCACAAAACACATATTGTCACGCTCCTGTCCGTTTTTTGGCTGCGTTTTGTTCAGTACTTTCGACTCAAGAAGAAATGCTTTTAGAAGATATCCCTGCCCACATGTGGCCCCGAAAATTCAAATTTAGCTCACATGTACGCCTATGTGTCACACATAGCCACATGAAAGTTTTGGTGCTACAGCCACTAACTCGGAGGTCAGAAAATTGGGGAGCTGAAATTCTGAAAGGATATTCTCCGTCTATTTGCAATCCAAAGGTTTCAAATTCAGCTTTCATGTGTGCTTGCGTTTCACGTACTGATAGGTGAAATTTCTGGGGAAATTCTGCGGCTTAGGAACTAAACAACATACTGACTATTTTCGCCCACTGAAGTGTAAAACAGTGAAAATTCATAATAGAGAACTTCCGCTGGACGGAACTATGCGTGATTGCACTGGATGTCCTGGTACGCGTTACTATTTATTATTGTCTTATACATGTGATGTTAATTTTTTTAGGTACAGCTGCTGGTACCACAGCGAAAGGTGCAGGGAATATTGCTCACAAAGTCGCCACTACTACGGGTTCCGAGTTTTTGTTAATTATTGAATTGTAGGATCTGTTTTGTGCTAGAAAATTTGTTTTGTCTAAATCTGGTTAAATCGAGAATTTCACATTGACATTAAAACAGATTTTTTCTGAATTGCTTTATTTTTTGTGTCTCAGTAAATTCGATGGTTACTTTTACTTTACCCAGATTTCTGCGAATAATAACGAAACTGAGGCAATTTTAACTCTTTCATGAAGTCATTTTCAGGTACAGCTGCAGGTGCCACAGTAAAAGGTGCAGAAAATGCCGCCCGCAAAGTAGCCACTAGCGCAGGTAACAGATTTTTCGGCTGCCTGAGTATGATGGCTGCTGGTGATTAGAAATAAAATTATCTAATGCTAGTGTCGAGAGCAAGAATGATGCAGTGTTACTTCAGATGAGCTTAGTGGCTTTCTTTTTGTTTCCTAAGGTAAAATTTTGTTCCGGACATTTACTTTGAAAAACTGCAGCTGTAGGGTCGACAACATTCCCATGACTACTGCCTGGTAGTTAGCTGGCAGTCCTGACGTCCGTTTATTTCCTGAACGGATTATCAACTGATATTTTGCCTGTCACAACAGAAGCGCTTGGCAAAACTCGAGCTTCTCATTGGTGTATTTTGTGCATTACCATGATATCCTAATCGTTTCCCCACTGTTGCACCATAGTGAAGTGTTTTATCAACCAAAAGCATGTTGCGCAAAACCGGCGAAAAGTCGACCTGGAAGCCGCTACAAAAAGCGATGAAAACTACTTATGGAAGGCAGAGAAGAAAGTTGTATCCTACCTTGAAAGACAGATACACAATAGATGCGCAGCCAGGGTGAACCTGGAGCAAGAGGGTGATAAGATAATTGAATTATTTTTTTATACGGTGACATTGCAGGCACAACGGCGGGCGCTACAGTGGCAGGTGCAAAGAATGTCGCCCGCAAAACGATCAATACCACAGGTTTTGAGTTTTCGACTATGATCAAACTGCGGTAATGTGGAAGTATTAGCATTAAAAACTCCTCGGCTTAAGTGATCCTGGATAACTCAGTTTTTATCTAGCCTTTTTTATGTTCTTCTGTTTTTATTTTGCATGTGCAGCAGTTATATTTTCGTTAATCCACAGTTGATAGTCCGGTTCCCCAACTACGAAGTTGTCAACCTTTCCAGCTACTTTGACGGTGCTACATCCCCTGACGATCAGTTTGCAGAGCGTTCCTAAAATTTATTTCGTTTCCTGAAGGGATTATTAGCTCAGCGGTCCTTTGGATAAAAATGCCTAGCAAGCCAGTTTCAAGAATTCATTGAAACGTGTTGAGCGTCACTCTCTCGAAATTTGCCACTTCTAGAGTAAAAAGAGTATACTTTGTCTGGTGGAAGAGCATTTTTGTAATTTCCTAGAATATTCTTTATTTTTTTTTTCTTTCCTATTGCATTAGTAGACTGATAATTATGCTTTTCTGATTCATGCAATGGAAAGCATTTTGACGAGACCTATTTACGTATATTCTTCTCTGTCTCTGGGCTACAAAAGTAAGTAAACTAGGAAGCCGGATTTCAGAACTACGAAAGCTCGGAAAATAAATTTCTGTTGCCTTCGCAACTCCTTTTTTAGGTGCTGCTGCGCGTACAACAGTAAAAAGTGCAGGGAATGTTGCTCACAAAGTGGCTACTACAGCTGGTTATGAATTTGTCGTTCATTTACAAATTAATAGAGCACTGATTGTGCCAACAAAATTTACACCTTACTGTTATTACAACCAGTGATAAAGAGTAATTTTTGGAGTAAGAGTAGACAGGAGCAATAAAAAATGCGCCAACGTTAAATAATGGTAAAAAAAAAGTCAGAAAAGTCTATCATATAAGAAATTCAAAAAATGTTACGAGAGAAAGAGAGGGAAAATAAAGAAAAAGGAATATTTCGGTCCGTTAGATAACATCGGATATTCCCTATTTGTAGTTTGAATTGTCTTGAATGCATGTTTTATTTTTTATTTTTCTCCTGAAAGATATTTGTTTTCATATATTTTGTTGTTTGTAATAATCGCATTCAGGACGAAGTGTTGATGTTCAGTATAACTGTGGATATCCCAAAGCGGTTAAAAAACCTTGATAAGTGCCTTTGTCAGGAAAATATTAAACTGATAAGAGATTGCAGCATCCAGGTTGACCCTGGAAGTATAAATGGCGAAGGTGCGAAGGAATTCAGGAGGAAATAAATAGCGCAGGAGAGGAGGCAAGAGTGAGATAAGACGTTTCGATCCATTAAGTCATATACGTCTTAACACTGCGACTGGACCTCGTTAGTGTGACTGTCGCAGTGCTGATAATACCTTAGGAAACGAAACAAATGTCTGGTCTGCTTTCTGCCTGGCAATTATTAGATCATAAAACATTGAACAGAAAAACCGAAAATTTTTCCCTGCTGCAGAAATGAAAATTCCAGACTCTGAGCTGACAGCTTTCCAGGCTTTCTGTATGGCAATAAAGTAACTTTAGTATTTACTCTAGGCGCTACTATTTGCAGGCACAACTGCGGACACTGCAGTGAAAGGTACAGGAAATGTCGCTTTCAAAATGGCTACCACAATCGGTACCCAATTTTTGTTGGTCACTGAACTATTTGGCTTGAATTATGCCAGAATTTTGTACTGAATGATTCAAAAATTCCACATC